TGGCTGCTTGGCACCTTCTTCAGGCTGTCCAGAAACGAGCTGGTGCTCGCTGGGGCAGGAGCTGTCGAGGCAGGAGCAGGCCCCGGGGAGGTGACGGCAAACGCCAGTGGCCTGGACACGGGTGTAGTCTCTGCAGTGGTGCTGGGGGTCACATCTGCAGGGAAGGAGCAAGAAATCAGGACCTGCAACAACAACTGGGGAAATATCCCTCAGCAGAGCTTCCTCAGCAGGCAGGGAAACTTCATGAACACGCCACAGTTCCAGCCCTGGGGAACCTCACCCATCGCCCTGGGGACTGTCCTGGGTCTGAATGCACCAAGAGCAACCCCAGATCCGAGGACCATAAGAGCAACCCCAGATCTGAGGACCAGGCAGGCCAGGCCCAGGAGCTCCCCCAGCCTGTGCTACACAGACACCCCACTGCCCGGCCAGCCCCCGGGTTTCTGCGTCTTGCCAACCCCTCCACATTCCTGCCCTGCTCTTACCAGCCTTATCCTCCAAGACTTTGTTGAACCACTGAAACGCTGCCTTCTTCTCCGCGTCCAGGTCCTCCGAGGTGATGGAGTAGGCCAGCTGAGGCGGCGGGGGCTGCCAAGAGAGAGCAGCAGCTTAGCTCCTTCTCAGGGAAGCGGGCAGAGCCTCTCTGAACGTGCTGGTGAAGGCTGGCCGTCGCGAGACCCGTGAAGCAGGTGGTTCTGCCACCGCACGCCACCGCCGAGCTCCGATCCCCGGTCCATCCTGGCCCCGGCTTGGCGCTGAGGGCACGGCAGGCCTTCCCCAGGCCATTACCTGGTCCGGCAGCAGGCGGCACAATCACGCACAGCCCACCAGACACGGGGGCTGGGGAGAGCGTCGCTTCCCACTCGGCCAAGGACGGGGCCTCCTTCCTGAGGGCAGGCAGGTCAGTCTCCCCCCAGCCCTGCAGAAATTGCAGTGAGCACATTCTATCGCCAGAGGAGGGCAAAAGGGGCTGCGAGACAGCGACGTACCAGCACCAGCTGGTCCCCCCGGTGAGACGACAGCAACTGGATCTTCCTCTTGCGCTTCCCGCTGCTGCCCGGCGCGGCCGAGGGGCTCAGGGGCTGCTGCTTCTGCGCCGGGGAATCCGCCACTAGAGGAGGAGACAAGTCAGGAGCAGCTCCGGGCAGAGGAGGTGCTTGGCTCGAACCAAGGCAGTTGCCCCGACTCCTCTCTGGAGGACCCAGCTCAGAGGGCAGAACCAGGGGCACGGCTTTAAGCCACAGTCAGCCCTTGTGCCCCCAGACCACAGACCACGCAAACTGAGTGAGCCACATCTAATGCCGTGCCACAGGATCCTCTCTGCAACAGGCACAATGGATTTCCTCTCCATTTTAGCTTAGCAAGTGTTGGAAATCTCAGCCTGGGTTTGATCACGGTGCTACTTGTACCACAGAACTTTGTCCCAGTGCTGACACCTGGACCCGTGCTGGCTTGGAGACAGTATTCCCCCTTCCAAAATCCCTTTAGGGCAGTCACAGAGGCCACCAGAAGTGCCACTGCCTTGGGACCAGCACATTCCTAGTTTCCAGGTAACATTTCAACCCAATCCCACATGCAGACCTCAGCTGCCTCCTGCCCCACTGCTTGCTCACAGTGGTGGCCCACCCAACCCTGGCACAGAGCCGTGGCCCCAACGCTCACCCTTCTCTGTCTGCAGCTCCTTGTCTGACTTCACTGGAGTGGAAGCGTTGGAGGGATGCGACTCCTCTTCCCTGGGCAAACGGGAGAGAATCAGTCAGGGTCAGCCCCACGCTCAGCCCTGTCCACAGGGAGCAGGATGAGACCGAACAGGGTCAGGAGTCCCATCAGCATGCCTGGTGTGTCTCTTTGCTTCTGCCAAACAACAGCCCTGTCCTCACTGCACCAGCCTGAAAGCAGCTCCGGGCAGAGGCTGCTCCCCTCCCTGGGACCCAGCTCAGCAAGGTCACAGGGCCTGCACACCCTCTGCAGGACAGTCAGACAGGGGTTCTGGATGGAGCTGCTGCCCCTCACTGGTTTGGACCCACCCTGTCACCAGGGTGCTGGATTTAGTCATGACATGAGCTCAACTCCTTCTCTGATCCAGGAGAAAGGAGAATAAGGGCCCATGTTCTAAAGAAGCCTAAAACGTAACCCTGCTGTAACTCCTGGGAATTGATCTTGAAGAGGCAGCAGAAATCTAGGCCCATCTCTTCCCAAAATTTCAGCAACGACTGACCCAGGCCACTCCAATACCACAAGGCAGCATCTTCTCTGTGGCAATCTGAGCCCTTAGATCTCTAACCCAGCCTGGGAGCAGGACAGGGAGGGAGCAGCTCAGCACTGTGGCTGGGATGCCAGTCGACACAACACAGAGGTTTCCACACCGGTGGTGACCCAGCAGCCACGTCTCTGAAGAAAGGAGCCTGGACTGTGCCAGCTCCAGCAGACACTGGGACTCGGGCACTGGGAAGGTGATTGCTCTCCTCCAGGCTGGCATCAGCGAGCAGGAGCTCGCCAGGGGAGCAGATAGTTACCTGGGTTTCTTGAGAGGCCGCTCAGGCGTCTGAGAGCGGGAGGATGCCAGGCTGGACAGTGGGGACACACTCACACCACTTCTCTTCCACAGCTGGAATGCAGAGGGAGACCAGCAGTCACTCAGCATGGGGCTGGCAGGGAGCACAGCCTCCCACCCTCCTGCTCACCCGCAGATGAAGCCCCATCTCCCCGGGCTGTGGCTAGTGAGCCCAGAGCCTCTCTTGCTTCAGCACCACTTAACTTCCTAAAATCACAATCATGGAACGCTTTGGCTTGATGGGGCCTTTAAAGGTCATCCAGTCCAACCCCACTGCCCTGAGCAGGGACATCAGCAACTAGAACAGGTTGCTCAGAGCCCCATTCAGCCTCATCTGCAATGTCTCCAGGGATGGGGCATCGACCACCTCTCTGGGCAACCTGGGCCAGGGGCTCACCACCCTTAGTGTAAGAAATTTCTTCCTTCTCTATAGTGTGAATCTCTCTCTTTTGGTTTAAAACCATCTCATCCCTTGTTCTGTTGCAAGAGACTCTCTCTTTTGGTTTAAAACCATCTCAGCCCTTGTTCTGTTGCAAGAGGTCCTGCTAAAAAGATTGTTCCCATCCATATCCACAGAGCACAAAGTCTGGTCACCTCAAACTGGATCAGCTCTGGGAGCAAGAGGCCTCCAGGCTCGTGCAGCCTGGCTGGGAGGACAGGGAACAAGGATGCTGCTGGCTCTTGCTTCTGTGTCACAGGCAGAGGTTGCCTGGCCACCTCAGGTGCCCTGCTCTGGCAGGACCAGGCCACCACCTCACCAGCACCAGAGATAGATCCCACTGCAAGGATTTTAGACTTGCTGCAGCCAGAGGACACCTTTCCCTCCTGATTTCCTGGAGGGAAGCTTTCTGTATACAGACTGCATTGCTCTATTAGCCACAGCTACGTCCCACTGTCACACCTACATCCCTCCCCCAGGATGTAAACTGTGTTTTATTGTAGCTCAGCAGTTCCTGAGGGGACCTGGGTCAAAGCAGGAGAGCACAGCTCCAACACTTGCAGGCTCCAGCTGTGGAGCAGAGCAGTAAAGTCCATTTTTTTTCCTTCTCTCTCACCTAGATCTACGCACCTTAGCAGACTGACCAAGGCTGAATCCTTAAAACTGCAGCGTGACAACTCAGCCTGGGGACTGCCCAAGGACAAACACCACCAGTGCCTGCTCAGCAGCCCTCGAGGAGATGACACTGCCCAGCTGAGCTGCCCTGGAGCCTCCCCACGGCGCTCAGACAGGCACCCAGCGACACTGCTCTCTTCTGGGCTCTGCCTTACAGGGGGTGCTCCTGGAGGGGGCTGAGCCAGGGGGTGCTGGGTGCTCCCTACCTGAGCAAGGCCCTGGCTGGAGCTGTAGGAGCTGGCGATGGCGTTGCGGACGGAGCCGGGGATGCCAGCAGCATAGGCACTGCTGAGGGAGCTGGTGGAAGAGGTGCACGACCTCTTGTTGGAGCACTCATCCGGGTAGTAGGAGACAAGGCTCCTCTTCAGAGAGCCCGGCCTACAGGAGGGGAAAGGTTTTATGAGCTCTTCACCACTCTACCCACAGGTTCTTTAAATGTGGGGCCCGGGGAGGAAGCAACCCCACTCTTCCTCACAGCACAGGGCTGGGGAACTAGCCTCAGCAGAGACACGGTCCTTACAGCCACCAGCCTGTGCCCAGTGTGACAGACTGCAGGCACAGCCACAGCCTCTCCTGCTCACCCCTGCAGCTGGGCTCTGCAAGCAAAAGCCAAGTGCTTTTTCCAGAGCCTGCAGGATTTGGGAATTTTGGACCCCCCTCCCAGCTCTCAGCAGCTTTTGGCCCAACAGGCACTTACTTGGGTATGAGAGAGGTGGGGGTACCGTTGGCCACCAGTGGCTCAAATGCTGACTGCCCACTCCCACTGCTGTCGTGGCGCCTGTGGGAGAGAGGGCAGAAGCCCGTGGTAGTGTAGAGGCAGCAGAGACAAGGGCTGCCCTCCCAGCCAGGGGACAGGACCCTTTCCAGGCCAGGCTCAGCACCAGTAAAGCACAAACCTTGCTTTTTTTCCCACCACCCAGGACAGAATTTTTCCCCATCCACACCCTGCTGAAGATTTTTCTCTCCACCTGGTCTTGTCTTCACAGACCCTCACCCCAAGCTGCCTCCTCCCAAGCACCAGCAGCTCCACCAGCTGTCTGCTTTCCAGAGCAGTTCTGACGTTACAAAATCTTTGCTCAAATCCATTATTCTAAGCCACAATATTTCACAGGGACTCAGCAGCTCATTTCCACAACAGACCTGAGCTCTGAAACTTGTCTCTCCAACCTCTTCCTAACCAGCGCCCTGGACTGTTTGAGTCAGCAGCTGAACCCTGCTTCCCACAGGGACACAGGGAAGACCTCAAGTCTGAAAAATCTTCAAGCAAACCCCACTGCAGAGCGGAGCTGGAGGCGTATGACCAGCCCTGCCATGCAGCCCAAGCACCTCCCTCCAGCTCTGAGCACACCAACTCCACCACATTGTTCACTCTGAGCTCCCCAGCTGAGACAGACTCCCTCCTGCCCTCAAAGGTCACAGGACTTTCTGCCTACAAGCATTCCTCAAGCTTGCCAGACACTACTGCCTTCAAAATTCCTTTCAAGCCAGGGCTGTGTGTTGGTGCGTTAGGAAAATAGAATAAAGTAAAGAATCCCCAATGCTGTTACATTTTATGGTCCTGCCTAGCTCTCGTGGAGCTCAGATTCACCAAGTGAAGGGTTGATGTTCAGTGATGGAGGACAGGATGGCATATCCTGCAGGGACACTGCCCGAGCCACTCTCCTGCTCTCCCTCAGTTGCCTGAGCACTGGTAGTCCCAGCCCACGGCGAGTGGCCTCCACGTGTGCAAGAGGAAGGGTGAAAAGGTGGAGGATTGAGAAGAGTGGTGAGGCAGAGCTGTGCCCAGGCACTGGGAAATGCTCAGGCAGACCATGGCACCCCGGATTTACACCCTGTCCTTCCCACAGCACTGGCAAAGGCACTGCACCCTCGTTTCCTAGGGCAGGAAGATGCCTTCCTTGACTAAGGAAAGCAGAAGACAGTCTTCTCTCGCTTGCCCTCGTGGTTTATCTCCTTTTGCTAGCTACAGGGCACAGAGGAAGCACACAGATCTCTTCAAGCATGATGCCTGCCCCTAGGGCTGTAAGATTTGGGGAGTCCTGTCTCTCCTGGAAGCCTGGGGCTGACCGAAGACAGAGGTGATAAACCTGCAGCAGATACCAGCAGTCCACACCAGGCTTCCCCACTCTGCAAACCCCTGCTTCCACAGAGACCACTTCCCTGCCAGGCTTCCCAGATCCACACCCCATCCTCTCCCTACCCCAGCAATGCCAGGGAACACACCTGACCCACGAGCTTGCCCAGACAAAACCCTAAACCACATCCCTCTGATCTCAAGGGCAGAAAGAACTCTCAGAGGACTTTCTGACAGCCCAGAGGGCCAGGTGATGCATTTCCTCACCACGGTTCAATTCCCCCAGCACTCTTCCACGGGGCCTGACACGCTCTGGGACACACCCCATTTGTCACCACTGAAATGCCTGCCCCAGTCACAACCTCTCCCGACACACGGGCAGCAAGCTGCACTGCTGGCTTGTTACCTCCTCTTGTTCTCCTGGTTGTTCCCAAACGTCTGGTCCTCCTCATCCTCCTCCCGCTCCACAGCCCTCTTCCTGCTCTCCTTGATAGCGTTCAGCACAGTCTCCTTTGCACATGGGTCCGGGCTGCTGTTGGCCGGGAAGGCAAGGGGCGAGGTCAGCTGCTCCAGGCTGCGAGGCACAGCAAAGCAAGGAAGGGGTCAGGCAAGCACGAGATCCCCGCGGCTGCTCCCCCGAAAGCGGGAAGAGGGCTCCCCGAGCAGCCCCTCCAGCAGGGCAGGGCCGTGCGATCCTCCCCGCAGCGCGGCAGAGCCGGCGATGGAGCGGGATGCTGCCCCG